AGAAAGCCAACATGAGTTCGTCACACAGCGCGCCGGTTCACGAACAGAGCACCGAACGTAGTTCTACATGCGTTCTAAGAGAGTTTCGAGCCATTCTTGGGATAACCTCGCTACGTCCAACCATTCTACGAACCACTCCACACCAAAACACTTACGATGATACAACCAACGATACAATAATATAAAGTTAGTGTTTAAGAATTTAGCGAGAATTTAAATGCTAACACGTCATTGTCAATCGTTTCTGACTTAGAAAATTATAACTTTTAGTTTCGGACTAACATCCAAGAGCTACTCCACTAGTTAGTTCAATATAACTCGCCACGAGTGATACTTTTAAATATAAGTCAAATTCCAAAATCCGAGAAAATTGTTTTCCGAAATTTTCTTAGGCCTAAATCGCGTCGCTAAATAAGATCGTAACACCAGGGTGTTACATGTTATTCTTAATATCAAGCTTCTGAGAGAAGGTGATGGTGGGGTAACTCTGTTACAATCCCACTATGTGGAAATGGTGCTGAGTCACTTTAGGTTTAGTGACTGTGAACCTGCTCCTACACCTTATGACCCGAGTGTGCTATTGAGGAAAAATCAGAGAATAGCAAGGGATCAATTGAGATATTCCCAGATCATTGGTTCGCTCATGTATCTTACTAGTGCAACAAGGCCTAACATCTCATTTGATGTGTGCAAGCTGAGCCGGTTTGTGTCAAACCCGGGAGATGATCACTGGTGTGCTCTTGAGAGAGTAATGCGCTATTTAAAAGGCACTATGAGCTATGGTGTTCGTTATACCGGACACCCGAAGGTGCTGAAAGGCTATTGTGATGCCAACTGGATTTCTGATATTGATGAGCTTTATGCCACAAGTGGATATGTGTTTTTGCTTGGAGGTGGTGCTGTCTCCTAGAAGTCTTGCAAGCAGACTATCTTAACGAAGTCTACAATGAAAGCAGAACTCACAGCATTAGACACCGCTGGATCTGAGGCTGAGTGGCTTCGTGATCTCCTTATGGATTTATCGGTTGTTGAAAAACCCATACCGGCTATTTCTATGAACTGCGATAACCAGACTGTGATTACGAAGGTTAACAGTTCTAAGGGTAACATGAAGTCCACGAGGCATGTTAAGAGACGACAAAAATCTATCAGAAAATTGAGAAACTCTGGAGTAATAGCATTGGACTATGTTCATACGTCTAACAATCTGGCAGATCAGTTCACTAAGGGTCTGTCATGCAATGTGATAGAAAATGCATCGAGAGAGATGGGTTTGAGACCCACATGAAATTTACTATAGTGGTAACCTGTTCTATGTGATCGGAGATCCCGTGAAGTAGAATGGTGAAACAAGCTAATAGTAAATTGTGAGGAAAGATCCTTAGTAAGGGCCTGTTTGGCATGGCTCTAGAGCTAAACTCCAGCAACTCCAGCCAATTTTCCAGCCAAACACCCCAGCTCCAAAACTCCATGGAGCTGCCAACTCCATAGAGCTGTAGTGCAAATGAAGGTGGAGTTTTAGATCACCTCTTTTGCAGCTCCAAAACCACCTAATATGAACCTCCTCATGGAGTTGGTGGGTAATTACCCACCAATGCCACTGGTTACATAGAAAAACGGTTCGTTCTTTTCCTCCTGAGACCCCCCGCGCCACATCTCCCTCCTGCGCCCGTCCGTCCGCCACCCACACCGGCAGCCGCCATCCATCCCCACCGCCGGCTGCCCGAGACCCGCTCGTCCGTCGAGCCCCGCTGAACGCCGCCGCCCTCCTGCTGCTGGCCGGCGAGCGTGGAGCCACTCCACGCCAGCCACACTACTCGTCCCTTTGGCACGCCGACAACGTGGCGGTCCAGCCGCCGCCCATGACGGCGGGCGGCCGGCGCGTCGAGGTCGGCGCACATGGGTGAAGTGGACGACGATGCCGTAGTACCCCCATGGCGGCGCCGCGCGCATCATCCGCCGCCGCGCACCGTGGCCGCAGATCGCCTGCAGAGCGCCGCCGCTCTTCGGGTCCGGCAACAACGGCGGGCGGCGCCCGCCATCTCGCTTGCGGGGCTCGGCCGGCGTAGCCTCACAGCATCATCACCACGGCATGGCCCCGAAGCGCCGTCGGGTGGACTCGACAAGTCACGATGTTCATCCCCATCCACAACGCCCAAATCTGGTGAGTTCATGTCGATCCACTGCATATGAGAACAGATCCCAGGATAAAAAAACCCTTCCTTTACCCCCGTCGTCCGTACAGACCCTCCACCGTCATCCTCGCTGCGATCCCCGCCGTCGTCCTCCACGGCTTCTACCGACGCGTACTGGGCCAATCTATATTTGCTCAAATTGAGGTGATGCAACTTTTAGGTGCTAAGATTAGTTTGCAGGTTCCTTTTAATTTTCTTGATGTTTAGGAATCCCAAACTGTTTAAGCAGTCCTCTAGCAATGAACTCTAAATGGTTGATGCTTCATTGCATCTCCGGTTACTGCTTTGGAAGACATCCATGGTTTACTGCATGTATTTTCATTAATCATCTCCACCATACTGCATGTATCTTGAAATGTCTGCATGCATTTTCATTAATCGGTGTTCAATGACTTGGGATGACTTGGCTTGAAGTGTATTTATTCAAACCAGGGGCAAGAATGGCAATCTACCCTCAAACTCCTCTTTTGTGGAGCTGCGGACACCCTCCCAGCCAAACACCTCCATCAGACAGCTCCAACTCTACCCAGAGCTAGCTCTACCTGGAGTTCTGGAGTGGAGCAGCTCCACCCAGAGTTGGAGCCATGCCAAACAGGGCCTAAGACTCATTTTTATGCATATGTTTCCTTTCTGTAAGGCAGGTTGGTGTTTACCTTAATGTGTTCCAAGTGGCTTGCTAAAGCAAAGATGTTGTCCTACAGAATATCTTTTGAGGAACACACATATATGAGTCAGACTGCTGGTCACAGTCTATGAGATTTGGGTGATCTCTAAATACTCATAAAAGGCACTGAAATATGACTTATATGCTTCAAATAGAGGGGATGCCTTTTGCAGCCTAGTATCAGCTAAGGACTTTAGTGACATTCATCTCACACAAAACTGTCAATTCAAGGCTTAGTCCATTGTTCAGTTGTGACTGAGTGAAACTATTGCTCTAGATAGATGTTCAACTTAACAGTCTTCATCAAAACACTAGTATATAAAAGAAATATGGTTGTGAGACTACTTTATTACAAACCCTAGAGTTTGGTGGGGATTGTTGGATATATTATGGGTTTGGCCCGTATAATATATAATAAATCAAATAAAACTCTATGGTACGTAACATTAAGCGTTGTATGGTTTAATACCGTATGGGATTTTGACTAAACGTTTACTCAGCTTATTTGGTTGAAAATTATCCATCTTAATTGAGAAGCTGAGAAAAGGACAAAAGAGTGCCACACGCGCGCGCGCCGCCGGTGGCCGAGCCACGGGCGCGGGCCGGGCCGAGGCCGTGGCGTCGAGCGAGCGGGCGGGCGTGGTCAGGTTTTGCCACTTAATCCACATAATCACGGGAGTTTCTCTCCTTTATGGTGGAGGCGAACTGATTGCGCCAGTTACCGTTTCCCCGTCTCTCCGACTCCTGAATTCCTCCGCTGGATCTCTCCCTCCCCGCCGCAAACATAAAACAGAAAGTCCTCTGTCAGTCCTTCCCCTTCCTTTGTTTCCGTAAGACCACATCCCAGCCGCCCTTCGGCTTTCCTCGTCCTGTACCTCTGCGCGCACATAGTAGCGGGAGAGCAGGTGCCTCCGGAACCTTCGTCCGCCTGCGAATCTTGCACGGGGTGTGCGGCGATTAGGTTTTTGGGGAGCGATTCCGCGACTGCTCGTCCGACGTCTTCTTCCCGGTGATCGCTCGCGCCGTCTTCTTCCTGGTGACTGTTCATGGGACTGCACCGCGAACACCTTTCTGCATCGACTGTGGTCCGCGACTTCGAGCAACGCACTATGTCGACTAGTGCGGATGGAGCCCCCGATGCTCTCGGCATGGGACCCTCCGCTGGGTACAATCTTATCTCTATGATTACCGCACTTTGCGTTCTTACTGTATCGATCTGTATGTCATACTTGCATGCTGTAGTGTTTGTTAGTGATATATACGTACATGTATGTTGCAAACATCCGTCCCTAATGTTTCATATATTTTTTCAGACATATGCTGCAAATATTTTTATCTGGACGTTGCATATGTTTTACACATATGTTACAAGTATTTTATCTGAATGTTGTGTATGCTTGCAATGGTTTTCAAGTGTTTTTGCAAGTGTTTCAGCGCGTATGTTTCAAGTGTTTCATCTGTCTTTATACGTATGTTGCAACTGGATGTTTCAAAAATAGATCAGGTTTTACACATGAGATGCGTGTGGGAAACAGGAGAGGGCGTGAGCGGCCCCTGCGTGGACGTGCGAAAAGCAGGTGCGGGCAGGGCGTGATGGCACAGGCGCGGAGTGCAGGCGTGCGCGAGAAATGAATCGGCCTGGAACATGGTACCGTCCGACGGATCGGTATCACCTCAGCTTCCCGAGTTCTTTCAAAAAGCTTCTCCTGGAATTTTTCACCTCCCAAACAGAGCCTAAAATCTGAAGAGATTGAACACCTGTTTTTAGGTACGTTCGTACGTATACTGCAAGTTATGGCACATTTCGGCTGCAGCAGATTATGGTTTGGCTTCAATATTTCTTCTTGTCTTTATACTGCAATATATGCTAGTTATGGCACATTTCGGATGCAGCAGATTATGGTTTGGCTCCAAGATTTCTTCCTGTACAAAGCTGTGCCCTGAAGCATGGCACGTCTATCAATTGTCCTACAGAGTAAGTGCAGTTCAGAGTTTTCCCAAAGAATGGGAGTTGCATTGCGCATTGCGATACAACACATCCCAAAAACATGTTGATAGACTTGACACCGGAGATCAGTCAGTCCAACATGTGAAGTTTCCAACCATTCGTACGTGTCAGTCAGTCAGTGTCACACTGGTGACTAGGCAGGCATCTCGCGGCACAGATCAGAGCGCGATTTCATCGAGTCATTGACCAGAACGTCAACCAATCGGTAGAGGTCTCCTCTGCTCTGCATCTCCAACGGGAGGTTCTCCCTGCAAGTGTTCTTCCTTGATCAAATCACCAACACAGGAGCAACCAAAATTGAGTGTGAGCGAATCTTAAATTCTCAATATCGCGTGCCTTGTAGACTGTATCGTAGAGAGGTCCATCCCGCCGATGACGGTCGCTTCCTCGTGCCCAGCTGCCGCAAGCACTTCACCAAACTGAATAGATTGCATGCAAAAATAAATTAGCCGCCAATCCTGTCGAACCGAAACTGTCAATTGGGAGAAGATGCAAAACTGCAAATGGTTGTTGTGTCTTACTGGTCCGATGAGGCTCGAATGGCCCCTTATCATGTAGTCCGAGTTCGCGTTAGGGTCTCGCGCCGGTGAGCAGGTTGCTACAAATAACTGGAACCAAGAAAAATTCCGCACCGCCGCCTTGATTTTAGGTACAGTTTCGGTACAAACATTACAATGACAGAAGAGGGTATTTAGTACTGAATTTACCTGATTGTCAACAGCCCTGATGGAGTGAAAAGGGTAGAGGGGAAAACAAAGTCGGTCAGATAATAACTACTACGTGAACAAAAGTTCACTACTGTATTTCTGATGGCACCGTGATCATGGCACAGAGAGCAGAACTCATGAAGAGCAAAAGGCTGGAAAAGCAGTGGCGCTGTAGCGAACCTGGACTTCTGCATGAGGTCCCACAGGAGCTCCCCGGTGCTCATGTTGAATGCAGAAGGATAGCATATCAGGTGCGCACCTGGTTTGGCAAGTCACACCTGTTAAGCTGTTCATGGAAATTGGAGAGGATCTAGCACTGCATGGAACCAATGTAGCACATCCTGCAAAAATGGTGAAGCATACCTTTTGATCTGTACAGCATTGCAAGCTCTGGAAACCGGATATCATGGCATATTCCTATGCCAATCCGTCCAACATCTGTAACGCATGTGCCAGAAGGCTATCACAAAAACAGAAGCACATTCCTATGCAGCCCCTTCGGCTCGCAGAATTTTGGCTGAAACTGGCTGAAAACACTGTTCTGGCTGAATTGTTGTGAGAGAAAAACACTGTTCCGATTGAAAAAAAAAAGCCGCACAAGCCGAACATGGGGTAAGCCGAACGGAATGGTCCAACATGAGTGTGTGCGCTGTAAATGTACTTCTGCAGCTTTACAGAATCTTTACGGGTGCTTAACATATTTTCAGACATGAAACTGTCACAGGAGCACAATAAAATGTCGCCACAAATATGCTACGTAAAAAGAAAAAAAAACTTCATGGTAATATACCTCTGAAGTTACCAGTTTACCACGTACCTGTGTATACACCCCATTCGCTTGGGCTTGTTTGGCTTATAAGCCGTACTTTTTCAGCCAACGAACCGTATTTTTCTCTCACACTAAATCAGCCAACAGTACTTTCAGCCATAGCTTATCAGCCAAACAAGCCCAAGCGTACAGGAGCTTCTTGTCCACCTGTGAATGTATCAGATTCCTTCAGCGTGATGTCTCCTGGGATGTCAATCTCAAACAGATGCAGTTGAAATTGCTCATTTCTTTTAGCAATCACTATTCAGGTCAATCTCAAACAATTACCAGCTGCAAATTACACATAAATATCTGGATTCAGACAACAGCCTCTCCAGCTACTGTATACTTACTTTCCTATGCTCGGCCAATATCTGTCCATCTGGTCCGATGACACAGCAGGTGTTGAACACCTTCCCAGACGCCTTCTCAGGTATGGATCCACCTACAATGGTGATCTTTCTGGCAGCAGCGACCTCCGACAACATCGAGATGGACGGCGAATCTCCGCCGTATATGTCTTCGGCGTAACTTGGCAGTGTCTCCATTGCGTACGGGCAGCTCCATATTTCTTGAAGCAAAAGCAGAGGAACACTGCCAATGAAGCAATGCTTGTAACTTCTGCTGCCTTCAGCTGATCAGGTCTTAGCGTCTTAATCTATACTAACACTTTCAGTCTGCTCAGTAGTTTTAGCGATTTGTGGTTTGAAGCAGTAAACACGTCAGTAACTGACTGAGAGAGCGGACGACTTGCCGGCAGGACGACGAGCTTGGCGCCGGCGTCCGCGGCGGCCTCGACGCGGGCGATGTTTCCGTCCTTGTCCGGTGTGACCGCGAGCTGGCACAACGCGACCTTGTGCTGGACACACATGCGAACAGACCATGAACGGATATCACAACAAAAAGTTTGGGCGACCGAAGTGAAACAGGTGAGATTAGATTTCCGGCGAGCATGAACAAGTTACGCACGAATTAGGATTTCAGACTAAAAGAAAAAGAATTAGGATTTCAGACTTGAGAGCCAAGATCTGTGTTCTGTATACCTTCTGCATATTGGCTTCGATTTGAGAGGACGGAGCCGCGGCGGCGGCGAGATCGAGGAGGAAGCCGGGCTCAGATCGATCCTTCGACTGAAAGGCAGGCCGATCAGGATCTGTGAATTCTGGAGGGATGGAAGGAAGCCTGCTGGGCTGTTGACTTCTGCGAGTTCTGGTACTTGCGTGCTGTCCAGTAAAATAGAGTCTTTTTATCTCTGAGCCATCGTAAAAGATAAAAAATTAAAAAAAAATCGACGTCCTCGCTCTTCAGCAATATTCGTCATGTTCGCCAATGCTAATACTTATACGGTTGTTTATGCTGAAAATATTGTTCTAAATTTTTGTTTCTCTTATGCCACTTCCATCTATTTCCCTTTAAAGGGTGTTAAACTTGTGGCGGAAATAACCGTTATAGCATAAAGTGAGCCATTTTTCTTCCGCTCCCTCTGCTGGCACTCAAGTTAGCTGCATTCTAATCTTCTTTCATCTCCTCTGGTGCCATTTCGTCTGGGCTGCTTAACTCAAACTTTTACTGCTATATATGGTTTCTGGACTGATAAATGGTTTGATGTGAGAGAAAAATATTATACCATAGCTGATAAACTCGTTTGAAATGAACAAAGCTTAATGTGACCGATCGTGTATCATGTGACTTTTATTATTGTCGATTAAACTTCTAAAAGATAAATAAAAAAAGTTATCAAGTGATGAAACTAAGGTAGTAATTATTTTATTTTTAAAACACCATAGTAAGTGGAATAAAGTCACATGTTGGACATGCTGACATGTACTTCATCTATTCCAAATTATAAGACGTTTTGACTTTTTTAGATAAATTGTTTTTACTAGTATCTAGATATAGTATATATCTAAGTGCATAGCAAATGTTATGTATCTAGAAATATCAAAATGTCTTATAATTTGGAATGGAGAAAATATCAGTTTGAAAAAAAAATCATTCAAACGGTAACGTTGAAGGAGAAATTTTATGCTTTGCAACATTAATCTGAAAGAAAAATAACAAAACCAAGTACTGATAATTCCTCGTTGCCTTCATCTTGATTTGTTTTCCAAAAATATCTAAAGCAAATAATTTTTTTGAGCAGGTGCAAATATTTTTTTTTCTTTCCCTATCCCATTTTGGGCCAAATCTGGCCTTAGCCGGCCTCCCTCCTTTCCCCACCGGCCCAGCGAGGCCCAGTCGGGCTCCTCCCTCTCTCCCGACGCCTTCTCTCTCGAGCGCGCATGCGCCGAACATCACCGTGAGGCCATGACCGCGCCAGTCCGACCCACCTCGCAGAGTGACGCTGTGGCTCCAACATGCGCTGTGTCGCCTGCATACCCTACCCTCTCTCTCCCCTCGGTCCACTTGCATAGGTAGTAGCATGCATGCACGCATGCATGCCGCCGGTTTGCATGCGCGTTCCCATGGCAAGGCTCTATAAATGTCTCCGCGTGCGCATGAATTCCAAGAACACCGTACACCTCTCCTCCTCTCTTTCGCCCAGGAACAGCCGCTCACCGTGGCTGGCCGGCATCCGGCATTTCGCCAAACGTTCTACCAAGGGTGGTTGGGATGGCTTCGCTCCACGTTTTTCAGCTTCGCTCTATGTTTTTTAGTCAAACAGTTTCAGTTCTACGCACTCTGTTCGAGGAAAAATAGTGGAGTTATGAGAGCACCTAAAGAGTGCTCCACAAACTCTAATTTTTTATGGAGCTGCTCCACGGTGGAGTTTGTGGAGCAGTCCTAAACACCTCCTAAGAATAGCCTAACACACAGATATTGTGCTAGTTGCATTAAATATAGTCATCAGGATTTATTGATTTAATAAGAAATAGGAGTAATGGGCTAAGCACAACAAAAATTTAACAGTTGGCCTGATATTCTTCGTATGAATAGAGATTTTGTTGAAAAAAAAAATCTCCAACAAATTTTTCAATTACATCTCCAAATATTGTCATCACATATTTTGGATTTCTCGCTAGCTAAATAAAATATCGAAATGACTCTACGGAGTCTGAACAAGATATAAAAAACTATTAGAAGATGAAAAGATACATAGAATAACTTTTATTAAATAGCTCTCTATATAAGAATTTATAGAGCAAGTTTTAAAAAATGTTGGAGCCGCACGAGAAGACGCTGGTCACTGTGCCATCTTTATCCTCCCGCAGATTTGTTTGTTAAGCCGAAGTGCCAAAGCAACCTCCATCAGACCAGAACTCCACTGGCGATCCGCAGCGATAGGGAAATGGTCTCGGCTGTGTGACTTGCCACTGCGGCGGACCCAGATTGCCTGGGCAAAATCGTGTGCCGACGACGCTTTGGCGTTGCATCTGTGTGCGAGAAGACGAGACATGACATGAGTGTGGTTTCTTGTTCCGGAGTCAAATCGATCGCGTGGTGTCGGGATGCCAGTGGGAATTTTTTTTTATTTTTAACACTTTTTTAAACTAATTTTAAATCTAACACTGTTAATTTTTTTTTTCCAAAACTAACACTTTTGTTGGCGCCTATTTCCCTGGCGCGGCGAAACGCCTGTGCCGCGTCATGCATAGTGGCGTGGCGAGAGGGATGACGTGGCGACGACCGGGGCGCTGACCGCTGACGTGGCAGAGTCTGCCACGCCACCGATCTTGGTGCGGCTTTGCCGCGCCCTGATCGGTGACGCGGCAGAGCCAGGTAAATATCCGCGGCCCAGTCCCGCCTGCGCCTTCGCGCCCGCCATGCCTGCCCGCCGCCGCGTCTGCCCGCCTGCCTGCCCGTCACTCCCAAGTGTTGTCGGCGTCCGGCCCCCTGTTGCCGCCTCTCTCCCTCCCTTCCTTTCTATTCCCTGTCCGCCTCTCTCCCTCCCTTCCTTTCTATTCCCTGTCCGCCTCCCTCCCCCCTCGGCCTCGTTAAAGGTAACGACGCACTTTTTATTTTCGTTTTGAGTGGTGGATTGAAATATTATGAATGGGAGTTAAGGTTAGGAGAAAAATTATGTTTGAGAACTATGGGCTATGGTTTCGAGGAAGATATTAGTTTGATTTTGTCGATGTTAAGGTTAATTATTTAGTTAGAAGTATGTTTACCATGTATATTTTTGTTGCTATAAGTGCTGGTTATATTATTTGATTTACAATGCAAATGATTATATTTTACATTAATTTATATTGTTTTAATTGATGTTTAATTTGAACCGTTTTATTAGATGGAAGACATGTTTCGGGAGCAGTTGTGGCGAAAATGGGGTAATCCTAGAGAATTATACCCCGACGAGCCTAGCAAAGATGCCCCCATCCCTCCTGACCTCCATGTCCCTAACTGTGACTGTAGTTGTAACACCCGAGGTGTTTGGCTTCCACATTTACACTTGCATTTCATAAACATGAGCATCATTCATCCATTCATGAGCTTAGATTGTTTGGAACATGCTTTTAAAACATTGCAACATATGTTTATATTCCATGTGGGTTTGTTTTATGAAATGAATAGTGTGCAACACTCAAGTGCAACATGTGCAACTCACTATTGAAACATGTCACATACTTTAGTGAAACATAGTTAGTTAATACTATGCAACAAACTCATGAAACATATGAAACATGGTTTTGAAACAAAAGTAGCAATTAACTTGTTTTTCCTTGTTTCAATGCATGTGATGCTTGATTTTGGTGTGATCAATGTGTGGTGTGGTTAATTATCCCCTAAAACACCTTAACTACACTTAGGATACATAGTGGAGCACTGTTCATGTTAGCTAAATTGACTAATTATGCCCCTAAGTGAGGTTTGACCAAATTGGAAACCCTAGAACCAATTTGTTTGACCTTTTAAAAAGTGTTGCTTAGAAGCTTTGCATGGCAATGCACCTTTTGGCAAAGTTGTAGATAATTTTATAAGGAACAAAAGTTGTAAAGGTGCCAAGCTATGGAAATGTGCAGAACATGCTCAAAATTGGATCACAACACGAAATTTACCCCTGATTTCAGAGACAATTTTTCTAAGTGTTAACTCTGAAAAACAGTTTTATGTACTCGACTTGGAGATGATTTTACTCCTTAACCAGTGAGAATTAGGCCTTGGTCTTTTAATAGAAATTGTAGATGGTATGATGGGCTGCAACTTTGGTTTAGATGGTTTGCGCTAATACTTCACGGATTAGGAGTTTGGACGCTGTCAACATGCGCTGTCAGGCTGCCTCGCTAGCTCTGATGGCCGAACTAAATCGGGCAGCTACAGTGCCGACCGCGTCAGAACTCCAGCGCCGCGTGGAGGCCGTGCGTCGCCGTCGGCGCTCGGTCAGGCCACGTCGGGCCGAAGCTCGCCAACTAAAGCCCGCGCTCACCCGTGACTTCCCAGCACTCACATTTCCCTTCTCTGCCTCCTCTTTCGTCTTTCCCACAGCAGTGCAGCGCAGCTCGCCGCCGTCGCCATTGCCGTTCTCATCTCGCGCCTCATCACTCTATCGCCACCGCAGCAGCGTCGTCGTACTCCTACCACACCACCGCGCCCACATTTGCTCGCT